ACACACACACACACACACACACACACACCACCAATCTTATCTGTGATTCCCACTTCCCACAGACCTCAGAGAAAACCTTCCCCAAAAGGCAATGATTAGATCACCAAGCTGCCGGAGAAGCTGAGCCTCTCCAGAACAAGACAGAGACAAGAGAGGGAGACTAGGGGGGGGGAGACCAGGGAGCTGAGGGAGAACTGCAAGCCACCAAGAATCCTCAAGCTCTGCAAGGGGAGCCGTGCTTCTGGGTAGGAGCTTTCCTCACCCCCACTTCCTAAGCGCACAGTCTCCATAAGCAGAGAGCTGCATGCTCACATTTGTCTTTAGGCTTTCTACGAACATCCCTAGAAAAATCAAAATAAACAATGAAAAATAAAAAGTAAACGGAAAAATAAGACCAGGCCGTCTCCCTCCTTTGGTGATCGCGGGTGTCAGAAGTCAGAAACCTAACAGACTCCTTGGCCCGGCTCTTCCTGAGAGTCTCCTGCCCTGGGAAGATACCAAAGATACCAAGGCGATGTCCTCAACACACTTGGCCACATTCCCACCCCAGGCCCAGATGCAAGAAGGGCTATCTCCAGGTCACTCAAAGAGAAAACTGGAAACCGGTTTGATGTTACTGTTCTAGTTCCCACCCAAACCGGATGCTACACAAAAGAGTGAAGCCCCGCCCCATGTGGGGGAAGAGATCACCCCCATGTGGGGGAAGAGATCACCCACAGGAGGCAGGGAGGGGGAGCTGAGCTCTGTGAGCTGCTGGATCCCCTCCCCTTCCTGAGAGAGTGACACATTCTATTAGGTCCAGGCCCCCTTAATTCTGTTTGGGAAAAGTACAGCATGAATAATAGTCCCTGTGATCTCTGTCTCACAGGGCTGGGCAGGGGCTAAAATAAGACCGTGTGATGATTTCAAAATCCAAAGTCTCAGTGTGAGTCAAATATACTCAAATCCTCTGGGGGTCCGGGGCAAGGGGCAGAGGCCGCTTTCCTGAAGTCGTCATTGTAATGGCCACTGTACTGTGTGCTCTCTCCTGGGGGAGGCAAGGGAAAACATATCCTTGAAGTTTTCTCTTTTTTTTTTCAGTACTAAGAGTGGACGTGTATTCCAGACTCTATCTACCACAGGGCTAACTCCCTGGGCCCACTCCGACACTGCTGTCTGATTGGCCCACTTAGTAAGGGTAGGAAATTACTTGAACCCACAGAGAAGTATGGAGGCAAAATAAAGGAAAACAAGGCATTTTAGTCTATATCTGTCAGGACTCACACTTTGTTGGTGACAAGAGATACACTCTTACCACTGTGTTATTTGTTTGAGGTTTGTCTGTTTGTTTGTTTGTTTGTTTGTTTGTTTTGTTTTATTGAGGCAGGAGTTCATTTAGCCCAGGCTGGCTTTGAACTTCTATTGTTGTTCTATTGGCTTTGAACGCTTCATGTGTGTAATGCAAAAATTACCTTGAACTGTTTTTATGGTGTATATGTGTGTATGGTATGCACACAGACACATGCATATGTAGGTGTGCCTGTGTACACACAAGAGGAAGCCAGAGGAGGATGTTGGATGTCTTTCTCTATCACTCTCCACTTCTCTTTCTTTTTTTAAGACAGGGTTTGCCATGTTGCCCTGGCTGCCCTGGAATTCTTTATATAGACCAGGCTAGCCTCAAACTCAAAGAGATCTGCCTGCTTCTATTTCACCAGTGCTGGGATTGAAGGCGTGTGCCACCACAGCCAGCCACCTTATTTTTTGATAAAAGGTCTCTTGGTGAATCTACAGTTCGCTGCTTTAGCTAAGATGTCTGGTCAGCAAGCTCCTGGGATCTATTTGTCTCTGCTCCTCAACCCTGGAATCACAGGCACGAGCGGCTATTCTCAGCTTTTCCATGGGTGCCGGGGATTTGAACCCATTTCCTCAGGCTTCCACAGCAAGTGTTCTTACCCACAGAGCCATCTCCACAGTCCAACCCAGAACATGTACCTTTGCCTTGATCCTCCTACCTCTACCTCCTGAGGACCAAGATTACAGGCATGTGGTTACCACGCCCAGTTTATGAAATACTGGGTTTATCCCAGGGCTTCATGTGTCTAATGCAAGCACTCTACCAACTGAGTTACAAGGCCAGACTTGCTGTCTTAGTTGAAGTGTCTTTGCTACGAAGAGACACCATGACCACGGCAACTCTTATAAAGGAAAACATTCAATTGGGGTGGCTTCCATTTTCAGAAGTTTAGTCCGTTATTATCACGGTGGGATATGATGGCATGCAGACAGACATGGTGCTGGAGAAGTAGCTGAGAGTCCTACAGCTTGCAGGCCACAGGAAGAGAACTGTCTCACTGAGTGTGACTTGAGCATTATAGAAGACCTCAAAGCCTGCCTCAACAGACACACTTCCTCCAACAAGACCATATCTCCTCCAACAAGGCCACACCTAATAGTGCCACTCCCTTCGGGGGCCATTTTCTTTCAAACCACCACACCTACTATACATTTTTTTTCTACAATAACAGATTTTGGGACAAACTCAGGGTAGACATATTATGCTCCAAGTTATAAATAAATACAAAGAAACCACAGACACGGTCATGAAACACTGATACACACACACACACACACACGCACGCACACACTCACACACGTCCTGAGCCTTTCCCTGCAGATGCAGAGAAGGAAGTCCTACTGGAGTCTTCTCCTTTCTAGTCCCAAACCCCATTCTTCCCCTTCCTTTCTTGGCGTCAGGTTGGGAGCTGGTCCACCTTGCAACGTGTGCTCAGGTTGCACAGCAATTCCCAGCATTTCGTCCTGCCTTAAGATGACCAAATTTACAAAATATTCAAAGCATACCAAGATGAAAAATGATTTGCTCCTTAATCCAACTTGGACTGGGTACTCTGGTAGGCTGGCAACCCCAATTATACCTCCACCCATCTTGTCCAGTCCCAGCCTCCACCAGTAGCTATGGCATCCCCCTTGCTACCATAACAACCTGTTCTGATGCAATAGGTCCAGGGTCCATTCTGGGAGTCATTATATTTAACAAACACTTCGGGTTTATTAAATTACCATATAGCTTTGGAAAGTTCTAGACTCCAGTGTGATACCACTTAAGACAAGATTACAAGGTCTAACGCTGTGTGAAGCTGGGGTCTTTGCTAGCTGTATAGACCAGAGAGAGCACATTGCCCAAATCCATGTTATCTAACCATTATCTATCTCGCCAAGAACACGCCCTATGCAGATGGGCCCAAAACACCCCACTCATACACACTGGCTCTATTTTCCTCTTACCCAGCCAAGTGCTTACTATACACACCCAAGAGCTGCTATCCTTTAAGGACCAGAAGCTGAGCCCAACCAGTTGTTTTCAGAGGCACTGCCAACATCAGCACCGCCTGAAACAGTCAAGGCAGGGGAGGCAGGGGGCTCTGCAGCACCCCCAGCCCCACCTTTGGTTGTTTCAAGTCAAGATCCAAATACTTTCAAGACTTAAGCTTGCCCTGTGCAAGGGAAGCCCCCAGGGAACAGATAACAGCCATGTTCTAGTCCTAATCCAGGGTTCCTCCCTGTTTGACACATTCCGTTCCACATCAGACTCCCCGGATCCCGTTCCTCCTCCTCCTCACTTAGTGATGTTAGATGTCGTCATTCACTGTATTCCATTCTTTAGTTTCCTTTGGTCCTAACTGCCACCCATTTCCTGACTCCACCCCATCAGTAGGCCAGTCCTCCCCAGCCTCTCTACCTCTGGCCCCTCATCTGCCCCACAGGGCAAAGATTCACCATAGTGACCAATAAATATTCCGAGTCTGTTCATACGGGCTAAGGAGGGGCTTTGGCTGGTCAGGACCCAGCTCTAGCTTGTCCCCATAGGACCCAGATGGGTAAAAAAAAATGGTCTTCTTCAGGGGGCTCCTCTCTGCTCCCCTCTGCTCCAGCGAGCCAACCTCAGGGCTGCCAGTTCCAACAAGACACCCTCCACATCCCACTCCTTCTCCTGGGATTGTTACAGAATTACAACTTCCCTAGAAAGGAAGCTTAACAAAACCATGATGGTGAGCAAAGGCAAAAGGATATGACAAACGAGAAGGAAGAAGCCACGCCACACTTAAGCCTCGAGCGCAGCCCAGAGGGGAGGGGCACATGTGGGGGTGGAGAAGAAGGGCTCCCCAAGCCCCCAGAGAATGCTTCATTTGCTAAATGAGATCAGTCTGGCCCAGATGTTAGGCAGCTGCCTCAAGAAGCAGTTCCCGTGCGGAGCAGTGCAGAGGCCAAAGCTGTGTGTGAGCCGGTTCCTGGGAGGCTCTGGCAGCCCTCCTCTAGGGGATAAACACAGCCTTCTGCCCCCTTTCTCCCCAGTCTGCCCAGGAGACGGCCTTTTTAGGAAACTCAGAGGATCCAGAAGAGAAGCAGACAGAGTGAGGGGAGGGTTAGGAGGATCAAGGAGCTGACCACAGGTGGCTCAGGAGCAGCCTGGCTGGCAATTCAGGTGACCATCTGCTGGAGGAGGGGGAGTGACTCATTCCCACTGTAACTGCTGGGAACCTCTCCAGTCACATGCACTTCCCCTACTTCCGCATCAATCTTTGCCAGCTCCCAATTCCCAACCTGGCCACAAACACAGCCATTCCCTCAGACACTCATTCCCTAGGGCCTCGGACACAGCAAACTCTCTACCCAGACATGGCAGACCCTCTCCTGTGCTTGTTCCCCCATTGACACCTCAGAGAGAAAGGGAGAGAGGGAGGGAGGGAGGGAGGGAGGGAGAGAGAGAGGAAGAAAGAAAGGAAGGAAGGAAGGAAGGAAGGAAGGAAGGAAGACAGAAGGGCCTCATCATCAGAGAAAAGAGAAGGAAGGGGATCTCTAAGAATGTGTTTACATGCACATGCACACGCATACACATACTCTTTCTCTCTCTCTCTCTCTCTCTCTCTCTCTCTCTCTCTCTCTCATACACACACACAGAGAGAGAGAAAGGATTCCTCTTTGGGTTTTAGCTTTGTTTTTTCACTCTGGGGGAAAATAAACATCCCTTCACAACACCCTATGTGCACCCTAGCACCCCCTCTCATTTCGAGACTAAAGCCTTTCTTCCCTGAGATCGTCTAGCCCAAAACAAGCAAAGCCTGACGAAGGGTAGCAACAGTCACTGCAAGAAAAGAGGCCCAAGCAAACTGGCTGGGAGTGGAAGTGCAAAGCAGGCTCTAGACTCAGGTGCCGGCTTTCCACCATGCGGCAATGGGAAGGCTTCACCTAGTGTTGCTCAACAGCGGAAAGAGACTGCATTCAGGAGGAAGGAAAGAGTCCCAAGCATCTGTGCTTACACAAAAGCACCTAAATCTAGGGAAATGGGGTGTGAACTCAAGTTTGGCGGGGGGGGGGGGCATACCCATGTTGATCATTCTACAAGGCTAAATGAATGCCACAGGTTGGGAGCCAAATTATTTGGGGCTATATTATCCCCCTAAATAGACATCTATCACCCACATCTGGGTTTGACCTAACATTCTTAAGATGTCAAGTAAAGTCCTTTTAGGAATTTGCAAACAGACTCCTAGCTCCCACCAACCCAGAGGCTAGGAGTGCTCTCTAGTGCATCAGACGCTTATAGCAGGCACTCTGCCTCTTTGCTGCAAACCACATACCTGATGTCTCACCAATGTGTTTTTAAAACACCTTGGTTTATTACTTTCTTTGTTCTGTTACTATATAACCTTGATTAAACTAGTCATCCTGTTGAGAACACAGCATTGGAAGCAACCTGAGTCCGTGTACCTTGGCCACTGTCACTTATGTTTGGCTCCGGAATAAACTTCCTCAGATTCCTTTTGAGTGAGGGCATTGACAAAATAAGGTACAGACTCCTTACCTCATCTGAACACCAGGCACACACAGGGCTCACAGCCAGACACTGCTGGCAGGAGTTCACGCCTCGGGTGGTACAGATGTTGGACTCTACAATGAGGAGACAAAGAAAGACGTCAGTACCTCATTGGCTCAAGGCAGGGACCATCCTGGCCCCAACTACCCCAAATTTCTCAAACACTCAGGTGACCATTTTCCAGGTACACACAAACATGCCCTAACTTTACCATAGATATTTACAAAACATGGGCTATTGATAAGCAAGAAAGAAAATAAAAAAGATGGGGAGAAACTCATTGCTATATTAACAGGTGAGGCCACAGTGACAGCAGCTGATGGGACTGAGCCACAGACCCAAATGTCTTATCAGAACTGATAGGATGGTTTTAATTAATGATGGTTTTATACCTACACTGGACAAATGAAAATCCAAGGCCCAGAGTCATGGCCAGGTGCCTTCTCCAGCTGTCTAAAATGTAGTCACAGCCACTGCACAGAGGACCTAGGCCCAGGTGCACTACAACTAACACCTAAATACTGTGGGGGGAGTAAGGTGACTTTAATGGCTGTGTCCCACTGTCTCAACAGATGTCCCAACACCTCTGTCTTGGAGGTCAAGCATTCAATGAAAAGCACCGGAGCGACCAGGAAAGGCTAACAGAACCCGGAAGGACATGGCATTTCAGACATGTGCGCTTGATGCTGTAGCCCTGGGCAGCCCACCTCATCTCTATGAAATGGCTGATCTAGCTCACAGGAGTTTTGAGAGAATCCATAAGCCAAGAGGATGCTTCAAGATGGCACTCAGGGGTCCCCCTGTTGACACTGACAGAGGAAAGACTGCAGGGAGGGACGAGGACAGGCAGGGGCCCAAAATAGGGCCTGAGGGGAGCAGCCAGGACCTAAAGCCCAGGCAGCTGCTCCAGTAGAGGGCTATCCCCTCACTTTGTGGCCCTGGCTTCAGACAAATAAACCCCCTTCTGCCTACAGCACCTCAGGGAAGCCTTTCCTCCCAGGAGCTGAAGGAAGGTCCGTTCCTTCTCGCGCCCCCAGGTTACCTGTTAGTTCTCTCGCCCAATTTCTGAGGTGCCTCCTTTGTCTGTAGCTGCCATAAAAGTTTATGATAATGTAAATCTATTTTTTATGAGAAAAACGCTTGTGATTCTCTTCTAACAAAATGACCAATGATGTCTAACTGGTAGAGAACATAAGTACCAAAGGCTAAAGCTGACTGTTTTACAGACATTAGCCCCAATTGTTAAAAATCCATTGGCCAATTCATTTCCATATGGCTGGTCAATTATAAAATCTCCTTCCTTGAATTCCATTTGGAACTAGTCCCAATGACTTTCTGGTTTCCACACTATTTCAACTGACTAAAACTTTTGACAGATGCTCTTTTTGTTTGTATGTATGAAAATAATACCTTTTAAAATTACATTTTAAGAGCCTAGAAAAATATTTCAGTAGAACAATGAATGTTTAGCATGTACGTGGCCCTGGGTTCCATCCCCAGGGTAGAAATAAAATAAGAAAAATAAGAAAGGAGGAGGAGGAATAAGGAGGATGAGAAAAAGATAGGTCCGTTGAGCCCTTGAAGCCTGCCTGCCTGCCTGCCTGCCTGCCTGCCTGCCTGCCTGCCTGTCTGAACCAGTCCAAAGACATACTAGTGGCAACTGAAAGCTTTGGGGCTAAATAGTTCTATCTCATTGCCGCTGAGCTCATTTCTAAACAGTATACCAGAATTCTAGACTAAAACCTGTAGGCCAGGTTTGGTGATGCACACCTATAACCCTAGCAGTCGGGTGGCTACAGCAAGATTAGGGTCATGAGCTGGAGCCAGCCAGGACTACATTGCGAGTATGAGGCCAGTCATAGCAAGAGTCTATTTCAATATCTAGTATTACATTTAGATATATAAACACATAAACCATACATATATCAATGGAACCTCAGACATTATAGGCTATCATGAATCTCTTCAAAACACTGGCTTGCATGGGAAATCCTTGAAGCACTGCTTCAGGTTTCTTCGAAGGCTTGGCTCCATCTTGCTTCCAAAGCCTTTCTCTACTCCAGGTGTCACCAATGAAACAACACTACAAGCCCACAAATAACTCCCGGAGCTCTATTCTCAGACATGAATATAACCTGAGTTTGTGCATATGTGTGAGTGCGTGTGCAAGAGAGAGAGAGGGTGAGATAGAGTGTGACTGTGAGTGAGTGAGCCTATGTGTGTGACAGAAAAACAGTGTATGTGTGAGTGTGTGTGTGTACGCACGCACGTGCATGCACAAGAGAGAGAGACAGAGAGTAGCTCGTGAGGTGAGAGATGTGGCACTGATTCCAAGTCTGGCCCCAGCGCACCAAAGTGGGGCAGCTCTCAACAACACAATGTGTAACGGAGAAAAGGTAGCTGATCTTTCCACAGATGCCGGCCGAGTTCTGAGCCTACAAAGCCAACAGTGTCATCCAAGGCTTCTCCCTCAAGGGCAGCCTGGCCAGATCTCAGCTTCACTGCTGTTCTCTCCCGGGGACATGATCAGAGCCCCTCTTCATTATCACTTCACCAGAAGAGTTCTGACAGGAACCCGTCCTGGACTATTTTAGGTAGTTCCCCTCTTTGGGGAATTTCCATGGAGACTAGCAGCTAAGAGTGATCCTGGACATAAATATCATCAATGTTCACTAGAAAGAGAGAAAATAGTTAAAACGAAAAGTGTAGGTGTATGGGTACTGTCAAGTTCTTTTTTATTACATGTATTTGTTTTGAGAGAGAGAGAGAATGAGAAAGAATGTATGAGCACATATGTCATAATGTGGAGACCAGAGGACAACTCAAGACAGTTAATTCTCCCTTCTGCTGGGTAGGTCCTGAGAATCAAACTCAGACTCCAGGCTTGGCAGCAAGTGCCATTACCCTCCTGAGCCATTTCAACAGCCCAGTCCAATTTATTTTCAAAACCTTTCCCAGTCTATCCACTTATCCATTCTCAAATTAGCATTCCCCATGAGTCCTTGCCTTACAGCTGCAATAGAAAGCCTGACCAGATGTGAAACAAGAAACAGCAGGCCCCTCCCAGGGTACCAGCAGTCCCTGACCTCAGAGGATGAGCCGAGCTGCAGGATCTGTTCTTTAGGAAGTCATGGTTACCCTGGCCCCTTGATCTTTTATTCTTAATGAATCCCAGATTGATAGTGTAAGACCCAAGGATCCCCCAACAATCTCCCCAACCAAGCCCTGCCACAAAGGGCAGGAGCTCTGGAATGCAGTGGTTGAAAGTGGCTGACTCATCAGAAGTCTCTGAGCCAGGCCCAGGCTGATTCAAAGGACTCCTGCTCCCAGGCTGTCCCTCCCTTCTGAACATGCGGGCCTCCTCCAGGCCTGTTTTCAGTCATTCATAAAGCCTATATGCCTTCTCGGCCTCTGTAGTCCAGAGGGACTTCCTGGAGAAGTGGGGAGCCTCACCAGCATGTCAGTGAAGACAATGGATGACTCCCAAGATTTGTCCTCTCAAGACTTTATCCAAGAAGCCAAGCAAGATTGGCCAGACCTGGTCCTCAACAGGAGGCTGTAATGCTTAAATGAACATCCTTGAAAGCAGCAGCTGGCATACATAAAGTGCTCAATGAAGATTGTTGCCAGAGTTGTTTTTGCTGTTGCCATTTTTATCCTTAGCTTCAAGTTATTTAGAGTAGACAACTATTTTACTATTTTTTAGAATTCCTTAAAGTCATTTTATAGGACACCAGGCACAAAGCTAATTAAACCCTGAACAGGGGGTTAAAGATGGGAGTATGGGGCCAAAAAGTATCACGATGAGGTGAAAATCTAAACAGAGCAAGGAATGTGTGTCCAAAAATCCAATCTAGGAATTGTGGCTGAGAAAAGACGGTCACTGGGAAAGACAGATGAGGCCAGCCAAGGAATCTGCCTGGAAAGTAGAAATAAAAACGGCTGTGGTCTGGCACATCAGCCTGGTTTGCAGAACCAGAAAAGAGATAAAGGGTGGGGGAAAATAGGCAAAAAGGAAACAAGGAAGGGAGCTGGAACCAGGGGAAGTCATAAAAGGCTATGCTGAGGACATACTGTCCAATGAGACAGGATGTCAAAAACTAGAGATAGGATAACCTGATGAGGCCAGAGACCTTCAGGGCTTAGTTAGGGTGAGAATGGAAGATGGTACACACTAGTGAACACATGGAGATCTTTCCTACTGCCCGCCAGAGAAAATTCCTGGCCAGGAGCCTCAGTCCTGCCACTGCAATGTAGCCACTTCCCGATTAGGTCCATAGGGATGCTAGGTGACCAGGTGGTGCCTGATCTTCCACTTCAGGCTCCTGAATGAGTCAACGAACAAAGTATCTCATGCTAATGGCCCCATTTGTGCACACATGCCTTACCAAGCATGCTTTGCAAAGGATGTTTTTGGTTTTTATTTCTCCCTTAAGGAGAGCTCAGTAGCTGAAGGAAGGGAGAAAGCGGAGAAGCTCAAGGCAACATGGGCTTCAGTGCTAAAGAGCAAATGGCCCAAGAAGCATTGTAGAGGTGATAGAGAACTCAGACTCCAATATCTTAACAAACTGAAGACCATGGATGCAAGGGTGTCTGATTTCAGATTTTAAATCATTTTAAAGTGCACCAAAGCCAATTAAATGTGAAGTTTAACAATAGAAATTGTGTGTGATTTGCCTCCATCAAGAGTAAATATTAAAATATGTTGTGGGTCGAATATATTCCCTGACACACCAGGATATACTGTTGTCCTAATCCCCCAGTGCCTGTGAATGGCCTTATTTGGACATTTATAGATGTAAAGAAGATGAGGTCATTAGTGTGGGCAGTAATCCAAGATGGCTGACGCCCTTGTAAGGAGGGGAAATCCCAGGTGGAGACAGACACAAGTGGAAAACACCTTGTGGAGTCAGCAACAGAACCGGGAGGGACAGGGATACCAAGGATGCTACAAAGACACAAAGATGGGTTCCACTCAGAATCCCAGACATACATTTTTGATGTCCAATTTATGTCACAACAGCCCTAAGAAATTAATTCTAAGTGGATCTGCATTTCTATAGCCATGTATGAC